TTTTATATTTATTATTCAATATAATAATCCAAGGCTGCTCCGATTTTTAAATAAACGCGCAAAATGACGAACTTGGCAGAATTTCAAAATTTTAAAGGTACTTTTTAGCAAAAATAATCGGAAAAATTATATTTCTGTTGACTAATATGTAATATAAACATAGTTAGACCATTTATAAAACATATTAACATTATTTACACTGAATGCAAACTGATACAGGCACTACAATAGACGAAATAAAAAAATCGCTAAAATTTTTTTTATTTTAGCCACGAGAGAAAAAACCCGCCAAAGTTTGTTTTATTTATACACTAAAATTTGTCTCGCTAAAAAAGCTGTTTTAATAATTTTTATTTAATAGTGAATTGGGAAGTAACGCATAATTGGGAAATTACGTCATTACTTTAAAATGTAAACAAAAATTTTTCGCACGTAACTACAAATTTTGTTGCTAAAAGCAACAAGCTTTGTCAAGGTGGAAAACGTTTTAGTAAGAAGTACAGAAAGTAATTTTTTTGATTTTCATATGCATAAAGGGTTGTAATTTCAATATTTTGATGAACTTGGGAAAAATATAACGTTTTTCATATAAAACAAGTAATAACAAAAATATAAAAGCTAAAAAATCTAACTTAAATTTTTTTTTTTATCCATGTTCACCAAAAATCTGATAAAATAGACATTCGTTTATAAGTATGTAAAATTTCAATCATAAAGCATGTAGCTTAAAATATCTAATCTTGATTGGCCCAAGACAGGTTTTCATTAAAATACGCAAAAAACAGAAAAGTGATCCCAAATCATTAGCAAAATTTTTACAACTTTAATTTTTATTCCGTTTAATCAGAATACTTATTTAACAAGGAAAGATAGATGTTTCATTTTTTTTTTTATTAGAACACAAAAGCGTTTATAGAAAAAAAAACCGCTACTTTAAAGTTATTGAATTTTTATACGAAATTTTTAAAAAACTCTTTATGCGGAAATTGTTTTTGCTAAACTCGTGACGTAATGCCCAATTTTACATTGCGTGAAACAGCCGTGAAACTTTTTCAAACAATTCAATCGAAGTTAGAAGCCTCAATACATTAACTGTCTTCAGAGAAGATTGCTTAAAAGTGAAGCTGAACTGTAGAGGCATGCCTCTACAGTTGCCAGAGGCATGCCTCTACTTTTTATTTTATTTAAGGTCATCTGAAGTTGGAAATTGTCATCTGAAGTTGGAAGTTGGAAAGGTCATCTGAAGATGGAAATTGCCGGCAATTTCCATCTTCAGATGACCTTAAATAAAATAAAAAGTATACTAAAACAAACTCAGTTTATATTAAATACTAGCTGGAAATATAAAATACCATTAACTTTAATAATAGGGTTTTACCTTAAAGCAACATAATCTTTAGTATCTTCTTGCTTTGGGATAAAACGATCCATTTCAGTATTTTCAGAAGACTGACTATGTGGCTGAACTGGACTCTTATTATTTAAAACTTTCAATTCTTCAGTCAACTGGTTTTTATATTTGCGAATATTTGGCAAATGTCTAGCCTTAATTGCATTTGAGACTAAAAAATTCATTTTTTTTTTTAAACTTTAGTTTACAAGCAAAGTCCAACGACGAAAATTACGAGCGAAGAACGTATATCAGGCGGCATATCAGAATTTTGTAAAATTTGAACGATTTGGAGCAACTGATGCAATTGTTCTAAACTTTCTACAAATTTGATTGGTTATAAATAACATTTCTTATCTTTTTTGTGAAGTTTTTTGCGGAAGTTTTGTAGCAACTGATGCAATTGTTATTTTATTAAATAGTGATTGGTTTAAACTGTTTTTAACCAATCATTAATGATTTAGAGTACAATTGCATCAGTTGCTACAAAGTGATCGGAAAAATTTGTGAAAAAATACAAATATGATTGGTTAAAACGTACTTTTTTTTTTTAAAACTAATCACATTTGTATTTGGTGAAAAACAATTGCATCAGTTGCTCCAAAACGCAGGAATTTTGTCTAAGTAACGAATAAGTAACTATAGAGATCGAAAAAGTAACTATAGAGATCAAATAAAATTGATTTTAAATGATTTTTTTTCGAGTTTAAAACAAGTTTTTCATTTTTTGTGAATACCAGATTCCAATTTCTCTTTTTACTTTTTATTAAGAAAAAAAAGTGAAAAAGAGATACACTTAAATTTAGCGGTGAAAAAAGACTGATGCATGCGCATCATTCGCGACACCCTGGATCCGCCCCTGCCATGGCCCACTGTGCATTGATTAGGAAAGAGGCGCGAACTTCCAATTAAATACTCATCCGCGGTGCTCTCTTAGGACTTCTCGGGGCACCTAAATAAAATTATTAAAAAAAACACAACTAATTTTCACTTTTTAATGGGATTGTTCCCACTTAAACTTCTCATAAGTTTGTTTTTCAATAAGTCTTCAATTAGTTTTCGAACATTTCATTTATGATTTTTCACATGCGGTTTTAAATTTTTAAAGTGCTTTGAATCTCTATCCAATTACTCAACGATTAATAATCTATTAACTAGATAACGTCTATATGGATTGAAACCACTCTGTTGATTAAAAGTGCTTTCTTCAAAATCACGGTGCATAGGCACATGTACTGAGATCTTGCAACACAACCCCGGAAAAATTTTTGTTTGTTTATTATCAGAAGATTCTTCCTTAATTCAAAAATGTATAAAACAATTTTTTTTACCGGGGCCTAGGGAGAAATCACGTATTTTAGGCGAGCAGTTTTGCCTAGTAATTTTGTTGTTCAAGATAGGTAACTAAGAGATATGTGGCATACTCAAATTTTTAGTATGTTAATACTGGTATCAAATGAGAATGAATTGCAAAAAGTTTAGGTAATTGAAGCTAACCCAACCCCGTTTCGGCCCCGAATTGCCCCCTTCCTTGAACTACGTCTACTAAAATAGTAAAAATTTTTTTAAGTTTTATCATAAATTAGACCAAAATTTATCAACATATTTCAAGTTTTAACTTTTCGTTTAAGATTTATGACCATAAGAAGTTTAAAATTCCACAAATTTACCCCCTAAAATAACTTTAAATGGTCGTAGCTTTTAAACTAGATATTGTTTTTTGATAAAATTTAAAATCTGTCGATGAATTTTGATATAGTTTAATATAAAACGAAAAAAAATTGAAAAATTCTCTTAAGGAACTATACACTAGGGGTTGAGTATTAGGGGTCGAAAAGGGTTAGCAACAATTATTTTATTGCCGTAAAAAAATTTCTGGTCTTTTTTGTGAATTTGTCATTTCTACGATATCATCATACCATATATCAAGAAATTATGTTCATAAGAGGTTGACATTAAACTTTTTACAAGCTACCTGCAAATTGAAAACTACTATAAAAGTGTTTGTAGTTGTAAGCAACAACTGCATTTTTTAGCGCTTCAATATAGTTTGAGTTGTGTTCTCCAACTATTCTCATTCGTCAAAACTGATTGAAATCCTGGTGAATGGATTCAAAAGCTTGTTCGGTCCAGTAAGCTAAGCCCAAAGAATATAAAATGCACAGAAAAAGTTTTTATCTATTTAATGAATAATCGTCATAGTTTGCAAACTATGACGAATGCAAAAGTAAATACTTATTATTACAGTAATAATAGTTTATGCAAGTTTAAACTTGCATAAACTATTATTACTGTAATAATAAGTATTTACTTACTACTATTACAATTAAATAATATTATTTTAATCTTTTGTCAAACTTAAAATTTATTTATCATACCGAAGACTCCACCTTTCATGTCAATGAATTTGATAATATGTTGCCTTCTAAGGAATTGTAGCCCCTAGATTTCTATAGCTCGTAGAGCTATAGAAATATCTTTAGATAAATCTTTAGATGAATCTTTAGATGAATCTTTAGATGAATCTTTAGATGAATCTTTAGATGAATCTTTAGATGAATCTTTAGATGAATCTTTAGATGAATCTTTAGATGAATCTTTAGATGAATCTTTAGATGAATCTTTAGATGAATCAGCTAAAGATAGCGATATAACAACCGTAATAGGAAAGTGGCTACGTATGCATGGCACACTGTTTAAACGTCAAACGACAGAAAAACAATAAAATAATAAACAACATCGTTTTGATTGAAAAAAAATTTTAATCGCAGAAAATATTTTACTTGTTAATTTAATATTTTTTTTTTTTCTAATTATTTACTAGATAAATAAAAACGGAAGAAATAGTCTATATCTATAAATGTAATAAATATATAGTCTATATCTATAAATGGAAGAAATATCTATAAATGTAAGTTTTAACGCAAGTTTTTAGTCATTTCTTTTGAAAATCATCAAGGATCTATTAGACATTATTATTAGGGTATTCTTTTAAAATAAATTACAAATAAAATTTAATTCTTATTTATTGGATTCAATGCAAAATGTATTAAACAAAATAGTATCAATTAAGTTAAATCGACGGTAAAAAAATCCTTAAAGCACCGTTGCAAATGTTAACGAAACTCCGCAGTCAGTTAACGGTTGATCAACACTTCTTAAAAGCATTCAATCAACGTTAAATTAACAACTACAAAGCAACAGTGATTCATCGTTGATTGAACAACTGTAAAACACCGTTGCAAATGTTAACAAAACTCTGTATTCAGTCAACGGTGAATCAACAGTGCTCGGAAGCACTCAATCAACGTTGAATTAACAGTGATGTGCAAAACGGGTAGTGATAATCAAATACAGAAAAATGTAACTCATGTGAAAATTCAATAGAAACGCTTGAATTAGGGGAGAGGTGTGCGAGTTTAATGACATCCTTTTTTAGGGGATATAAGGAAAAAGGACAACCGGTACTAAAGGAGATGGAAGGTGGGGGAGGGGGTGGTCAAAAATGTCTAAAAAATAATGACGTCTTTTATGGACAGCCCCTTATAGAGATCAGTGGTTATGACGCGCAAAATGATTTTTCAGACTATAGTGTCGTCAATTGCGGTCTATTGTGGTCCATTGTGGTCCGGTATGATCTGATCCACGGCGTATTTTCATTTGTGTGTCTGAATTTTTGTTTTTATATTTCAAAATGAGCATGTTAGCTGAAGTGAAATCAAAGCAAAAATGGAGCGATGATCCTAGAAATACAAGATGGGCAAACGGTATGTACAATATTGGTTTATTGCCTATTAGTATCGTTACTAGTCGGTAATAAAATTTCAATATAGAAAATAAGGTATTATAAATATACTCTGAAAATTTTAAGTTAAAGACTTTTACTACGACACTTTATTTTTCTTTATATTTCTTATTTAATATCTTACTTTATTAAGCTGTAATATTGTGTTATTTCATATTTATATTAATTTAGTTATTTTAAACTAGTTTAACTTTTTTTAGACAAAACAAAATTTGGTTATACAATGCTTACTAAAATGGGATGGAGTGAAGGAAAAGGTTTGGGCCAAAATCTTTCTGGAGAAGCAACGCATATTAAAGTCAAAAAAAGAATTAATAACTCAGGTGTTCTATTCTTCATAATTGTGCATATTTTTGTTTTAAACTAAAGTTTAACAGGTTTTCAAATGTGTTGTGATTTTTATCGAATCAATGTTAGTGAAATTATTTAAATAATATACTCGGTTATAATTCCTGGTGACTTTTGCATCACCCGTTATGTGTATATACATATATATGTATGTATATATATATATATATATATACATATATATATATATATATATATATATATATATATATATATATATATATATATATATACACATATATATATATATATATACACATATATATATATATATATATATATATATATATATATATATATATATATATATATATATATATATATATATATATATATGTATATATATATATATATATTATATATTAAAAAGTTAGAATAATAGATTGAATTAACATAATTGATAATAATGGAAATAACATTATTCGTAAATAATATTATCATTTATTGAAACTAATCATTGAAATAGTGATGAAAATAAACAGTCAGTGCATTTCAAAAAGTAGACAAAAATAGATAAAACTAAACTATTAACAATACTGTAAGGCCGTAAGACTTTATTATTTGCGGACAAACAGGAACAGTGTTTTTTATATATATGTGGAAATTGTATATAATAAACATAAAAGATGGCTTTCATATAAAAGGTGTTATATATTGTTATTTTTCTATTAGTTGTGTTTCATTAACGATACAATAATGACGTTACAAGTAGGATCTAATTTGACTTTAGATGATCCAGACAATGCAGAAGCATGAATTAGATGTTTTTTAGCTTCCACGCGATCAAAGAAATTAAAAGATAAGGTAGGTATGAGATAGCAGATTTATTTCTGGCAAAAGCAGGCATTGAAGCAGTAAAAAGGATTTCCTTTATGGTATATCTAGAAGAATTAGAAAATATGATGCTTGATGGTACTAAAACTGTTGTTATGTCTCATTTGAGACCTTAAAAATCACTAATCATTGCTGAAAGAGTTTGATTTTTAGTATTAAAATATCAAAGCAATTAAAACATTGTATCATGTGCACAAAGATTATGTAAAGCTTCACCATTTGTAATTTCGAAAAATTAAGAAAAGATGGCCAAAGTATCTTCCTTGCTGTATCAATGAAATGATACGGCAAGGAAGATGATTTAATTCGCATAATATTGATTGATGGGCTCCAATCTGATCAGATAATTAAAGCTCTACAAATGCTACAGATTGGAGAGTTGCCTAAACTAGGAGCATGTGTTGATTTTGTTAGGCAACTTGAACAAGTATCCTTTTTTAGTATACAAAGAAACATTGAAAAAAATATAGACCTCGTTTCAGTTAATTATATCGATAAAAATAAGTAAAATTAAATTAAATGCAAATATTACTGCTTTCAACACTTACCAGTGCCCAGTATTTGGGAAAAGTTAAAAAAAATGTGGAAAATTAAACCACTTTTGTACACAAAAATGTATGCAAAGCAAACAGTATGAAAGAAAAGTAGAGGAAATAGAGAACGACAATGCTAGTGGATATTCGAATTACATGAATGATACAAACTCAAAGATCTATTTAAAAATAAATGATTAGAGTTTAAAAATGCAAGTTTAAACCAAAGGTCAGGTCACAATCATACCTAAATATTTTTAGGAAATAATGTTTAAACCTAAATTACAAAAATGTTATCTTTGACTGAATCAATTCGATGGTACAGTTTTAAAAGTCTTTGATTTTGGCAAATTTGAGGCAACTTTGGAAAATGAATATTGTTGCAGTCTGTGCAAATAATCATGGTTTAATTGGCATGGATGTATTAAATATTATTGCAACAAACTTATTTAATAGTATAGAACCTATTGTTCATGAACGTTTATTTAATTACAAAACATATATACTGTTAAAAATGGCATACAACCAACTTATTTTGAATCTCTAGCTCTTCCTATTAACATAAGATCAACTCAATAAAATTATGCAGCAAAGGTTCCTCCTGGTGGAAGCAAATGGGCCTCACCACTTATGGTTGTTAAAAAAATTAATGGAAGTTTACACATATATGCGGATTACAAAATAGGTGTTAGCCAAAAGATATGCTCAGACTCATACCCTAATCCAAATATCGAGAGTATATTTCATAAAATAGCAGGAATGAATTTTTTTGATAAAATTGACCTCAAGGGAGCTTATCACTGAATTGGTGGTTAAAAATGGATCTTGAGTCATTTAAAGGTCTAATAAACTTGTATGGTTGACACATTTAAAAATATGGTGAAAATTTTTCCCTTTAAATAGTTTAAGGAAAAAAGGAGTTACATTTGAGTGGAGGAAAGAATTTCAATATGCAATTGACTAAATAAAAATCTTTGCGAAGTACCTGTGGTAAAAGTTAATGACATCAATCAAGATCTAGAATTAAACAACTGATGCCAGTGAAAAAGCAATATCTGGAATACTTTCACAAAATGGTCATCCTGTATTGTATCTCTCGCGATCTTTATCAGATGATAAGACTAGATATTCTAATATAGAGAGAAGCCTTGGCTCTTTTATGATCCACTCACAGAGCTAGGCATTTTTTATTGGGTAGGAAATTTAAATGTATATCAGATCGCAGACCATTAGAGTTTAAATTTGATGGTAATAAAAAACGCCTAAAGTGACATATATAAACAATACTTTTTGCAGGAAGATCAAGGATTCCTTCCGAGAAGATATGAAGGCAGTTAAGATCTCCTCTCACTATGAGCTTCAAAAGTGGATCAACCTTATGGTATCGCCACAGACCAGATTCAAAACCTGAACCTGCTTCATTTAATTCCTAGGCTGGGCAAAACACTGCAATCATTGAGGAATAGTTCTTCAGGTGCATTAACCAAATAAACAAATGCTTAACTGAGCCTAGTATAGTTATAAATAATAAAGAGAGCATGCATTATACTCCTATCAATAATGAGAAACTCAATCCTATAAATGGTGATAAATATGATATGTCCAAGCTACTTGTAACTGAAGAAGAATGTCCCCAGAATTGAAGAAGTAGATGCTCGACAAGGTTGCAAAAGCCAACACATTTCAGTGATGTGAAGCCATAAAAAATTATCATTTATCTTTTATGTTTATTATAGTATAACTTTTGTTATATTATAATAAATATAAAAGATGGTTTACATATAAAAGATGTTATATATTATTGTTTTTTTGTTAGTCGTGTTTTACTACAAAAAAAACCTTTTTATCAAATGAGTTTATAGAGCATCTATGTAAAAAGTTTAATAAAATTAATTTGTATTCGATTATTGCAAAATTGCAATTAAGCTGTGTAAAACATTTCAAAGAGACAATTACTTTTGATGAGGGTATTGACCTGGCAGTTTATGCTGAGAATTACACTGTTGTTCTACAAAATGAGATATAGAGTTATCATTGGAGTAGGAAGCAGTGTTCCTTTTATCAATTTGTTTCCTATTTCATAAAAGAAAAATTAGAGGCATCTTTATCTTACATAATTTCAGTGGTTTAAATCATTTTTTGGGTTGATCAATAAAGTTATGCATAAATCAGTTAATCGTATAATAACCCTCTTTGTCCCAAAATTACAAAAATTCATTATTTTTCTTATGTTTGTGCAAGACACTGGAAAAACTACAAGTTTTATAATATGTATCACCATGCTGATTGTTTTTTTGTTTGTTTTATCTGGAATTTCCATATGACAAGCCATGGCAAATCACAATGTAATGAAATTGGTGGCACTGAAAAACAGCTTGTTGTTACTGCTCCCTTTCATAGTCCAACAACAGGTTAAATATTATCTCCTGAAGCACAAGGTCAGGTTCAGGTTGGGTCAAGGTCCAGGTCAGATCAAGGTCCAGGTCAGGTTAGGTTAAGGATTATCACATTCATCATTCTACTGATATTATGTAACCCAGTACTACCTGCCCCATGTTCTTCTCCCTTGTAGGATTTGCTTTTCTAGTCAAAAGAACTATAAACTCTGACTAAGAATTTCCCGTCTTGGGGTTCTTGGTTGAGTAAAAGCTAGAAATGGTGTCTCAATAAAAATATCCATCTTGAGCAGATGTTAACTGTATCCAGCTACTATCTTATAGAAGGCCCTCTAGGCAAAGACATTAAGAAAAGCAGAATAATTCTGTTGACCAGCCTTGCACCCCTTCTTTATCCTTTAGACTGGCATAGATGTAAATCTGTGATCAAAGTAACCAAAAATATTAAACAAAAAACCATCACCACCATCTAACTGTTTCAATATCTTATATATCTTTTACAAATATTCATGGTATTTGTAACTTTCTATAGGTTGAATCTTACCTCTTGCAAAATTTACCAGACTTGACTAATTTGAATTTGGCTGCTTGTCCTTTGAAACTCAGTATTGATGGCTAAAATCCTTTGATTCGCAAAGACTCCAATAATAACATGCTTGCCTTAGGCGTATAATTATGCATTCATTCACCTTTATTTTTTTAAATCATATTCACCTCCCTAATTTCAAGAAGTCACTTCAATTATGGCTACTTTAAAGTGGTTACAACCCACTCTCAGATCTTTGACACTAAAGCATAAACCTTGATGAACAAGGTTGCTGCACAGAGAAAAGAGTTAAGCACCATACTACCAGATATGTGTTTAGGTCTAGAATGCTTTTTCTAAAAATCAAACTCAGAACTTTTTGCTTATAAAGCTACCACACTACCACTACAGCACTTCATTCAATAACCTTTTTCTTTGTTTTTTATTGTTCTCCTTCTTAAGCCTGCACTAGATGTAATTTCTGATCAAATTGATCAAGCCCTTCTATCCAATCAGTCTTTTCTTTATTATTAGCAAGATATCTGAGTCTTTAATCAACAAATTTTTAACATCACATCTTGAGTCTAATAATTTACTCTCTAACAATCAATACAGATTTCGATCTTCTGATTATACTCCTGACTTGCTAAATACTGTAACTGAAAGATTCTATCATGCATTAGATGGGGGCAATGTAATGCAAGATCAAAACCCTTAGGTTTTGATCTTGATATATCAATAGTTTTTGATAAAGTTTTGTATTTTTGGTTATCTCCATAAGCTTGCTTTATATGGTGTATCTGGGACAAATTTTGTGATAATCAAATCATTTCTTTCTAAGCACGATATTAAAGTTATCTTTGAAGACTCTTTTACTCTCTCTTTACACTCTCTTTTATTTCTATTATCTGGAGTATCTCATGGTTTTATCCTTGGTCCTGTATTGTTTTTTACCTACATTAATGATCTTTCTGACAATATTACTTCTAAAGTGGCCCCATTTACTGACAACTCAACTTTAAACACTCCTGCCTTGACAAAAAGTCTTTTGATCATTTTTTGAAGTTATTAAGAATTTTGACTATTTCTAAATATAAATTTTGTTTTGATGTTTGAAATGTTAAACGTCATTTTATCATGTTGAACACATTTACAGTAAACACATAAAATTTTAAAAGTAGAATTTTTGTGCATTTTTAAATTTTTATTTATTATTGAATAAAAATTTTTTTGTGTTTTACTACAGCCGTTTTTCAAAACGCCTTAAATTGCTTTCTACGTATTTCGAGAAAAACACTATTTGATATATATTTTAAAATTTGCAATTTTACAAGAGATTTGCAACTAAAATATTTATTTATGTATAAACTGTATTATCTAAATTATATTATGGATTGGAAAAAAAAAGATTAATTTAAAAAAATAAGTATTTGTGTTGTAATTTTTTATTATTTACAACACAAATACTTATTTTATAATTTGTCTCAGCAGTGGCAAATCCTTTTAAAATTTAAAGGGGTTTGCCACTGCTGAGACAAATTGTGCTCATATTAAAGAAAATGTTTTTAAAAAAAAACCTATAGTTTTTTTGATTAAAACTAAATATAAATGTATGTCAATAAAACTAAAACTCTTGTTTTAGTCAAAGCTAGCCGCAATCTACACACTTGATAATATAACAATAATGCTTAAACTTATATACTGAAACAATGGTTTCAGTTTATGATGTTGTTGTGTAATTACTTTTAAGATATCATAGTATTTTTTATTTGATAATCAGAAAATCTTATGTGTATAATTTTTTAATAAATTCCAAAAATTATTTGTAATACAATTAAAAATAAAAGAATATATTTGGTTTCTAATTTGTTGTAGTTCAACTTGTTTTAAATAATCATTAGAAATTTTTCTTTTTTAATATTTAAAAAAGTTATTGAAATTCCAAATTTATAATTTATAATTTATATTATTTTTTAGCCACAAACTTCTTTTAAGTTTAAAAAAAATTTATGTTTTATAAAAAATCTAATGATCAACACTTTTTTAAATCTGAGAATAGTTAATACTTGTTTTATTATAATATTTATAATTATACAATAATTATAATATAATAATTATTTTTATAATATAGCAATAACTATAATTGTTATAGTAAAACTATAATTAACTATTAAGAATTTCAAAACTTAGTTTAGCGGAATAATTTTTCCCAAATCAATGCGTAAGGCGTTTTAAAAAAAAATTTCAAAATTAAAAGCAGATATTATTTTGAAGGCGTTTTTTAAAACTAGTAATCTTTATGAACTTTTTCGCAATTTTAAAAAAATAATTATTCAATAACGTTTGTTATCATCTATATTAGCTTATTTCATAAAAAAGTCAATTTTGAATTTTTTGATCTTAAGGCGTTTTGAAAAATGGCTGTAGATTAGTTTACTTAATTATAAGTGGCATATTGGAAACATTTTTAATATTTAACAATTTTGGTAATTAAATTAACAGTTTTGATAATCAAATAAATAGGTTCATCTAGACTAGATGTATTACATACTAGGCTAATGTCTTAGCATGACCTCAACTCTAATTGAACACTGTATTTTGAAAAGACGACAAGTCACAAAATTAAAATTTTACAGGACAGTGAAAAATATTTCTTCTGTAAAAAATTGTATGAAAATTTTTTTTGTAGCTTATATAAAGTAATAAGTAATAATGTGCATCTTACATCTTAAATCAGATAAATTTTTTATTCAAAGCATCAACTAACCTCACTTTTGAAAAAACTTTCAAATAACCTCACTTTTGAAAAAAGTCTGACTTGCGACGTTTTTAAAATACAGCATTCAATTTGACCAGCTTTAAAAAATGATTTGAACACCTTCTGATATAATGTAAACTTCAAAATAGACTTAAGATAAAAGTTTTTTTTTAGGTTTGCAACTTTTAACCCTAAACTCCGAAACACAAACCTTGTAAAACAACTGCGGGAGGGGGGGGGGAAACAAGGCTGCTGTACAGAGAAACAAGTTAAGTGTGATACTTCTAGAGGTGTAAGGTGGATTTGAACCTCAAATCTCTTGATTGTGAACTGAGTGTTCTACTGCTATTCTACTATCACATTTGTAATTATAGATAAATATAATTATACCCATTTTTTATAAAATTTATTTTGCTCTGTTTTTATTTAAATCATTAAGAGTTTGTCAAAAACTTAAAATTAGTTCTACATTTTAATTTTATTTTAAATTTTATGCTCTGACAAAAAAAAAAAATTATGTGTTAGGTATTGGTTTAAAAAAGCCATCAGATGATGAATGGATTTCTCAACAAGATGATTTTAATGCTCTGCTAATTCAGCTGAATCAAGGTATGAATTTATATATTGCATGTGTACCTGCATCTATTAATCTATATGCATGTATGTATGTATGTATGTATGTATATATATATATATATATATATATATATATATATATATATATATATATATATATATATATATATATATATATATATATATATATATATATATATATATATATATGTATAAATATATATATATATATATATATATATATATATATACATATATATATATATATATATATATATATATATATATATATATATATATATATATATATATATATATATATTTTTTTTTTTTTTCTTTAATAAATTGTTTTTCCATCAGTAGGTTCATCAGGAAGAATGAAAAAATTCAAATTATAGAAAAAATATTTCACAGGAAGTTTTATGTAATAACTGTACTTATTTTGCAACCATGAAGTTGCATCAACTATATTAGAAAATAAAAAATTAATCATGAAAAGAAATAAGATATTTTTAGTCTGGTCATTTGTTTTTATAATTTTTTAAAAGGTACTTATTTTTAATGTCTGCATTTAGAAATTAATTCAGATTTTTTTGTTTAGTAAATTTTCTTGATCAAAATGAGTAATAATTTAAATGTAAATTTCTTGTAAACATAGTATACATTTTTTGGAAATGTTATTATTGGCAGGCGCAGTTTTTAGAATAGACCAGTTTAATTTAAATTTGTTATTATTTTCTTTTAGTTGTCAAATATATTTTGACATGATAGTCTCTTTTGAGTATTTTTTATGTTTAAAAGGTTGTTTGTGGTTGGCATAACATTTTTTTCCTATTTACCCTCGGTTAAGCCAATATATTGTTTATCAGGGTTGTTTTGTGAGGAAATAATGCATTTCTAAATTATATTTCTTGATAAGCATTTGCCATTCATAGTGCAGTCAATTTTTTGCTTGCAATTACAATTTTCAATATTTTTTTCTTTAAAAAGTTTTTATTATTGCCAAATTATGGCCTTGTATAATTCTTTCAATATTTTTTTGTACAGCTATAGCTTATTTTAATAGTGTTTCTGTTAAAAATTTTGTGTGATTTCTTAGAGGTAGAGAAATGTTTGTCTACTAATTTTAAAAATGTTATTATTGGCTATTATATTATATTATTGCTTTTCCAATATTTGTTGAAACATTTTTGCTGTAGAGAGAATTGAGCTAAATTATATTTCTATTTTGCTTTTTTGCAATTTTTGTTTCAAATTTTAGCTCAAAATTTTTAATTTTAAAATCCGCTTTTTTTAAGAGCATTTTTATTAGAAGAGTTTTGATTATGTCTATTGTTAATTGAAATAAGATTTTTTTTTTGATTTGAAGGGGATGATTTGAATTTATATTAATATACAATAATTCATCATTAGGTTTTTTATAAAGCCTATAAGAATTTTTCAAGAGGTTAAATGTGACATCACAATTTTTAAATTAATGTTTATTTCAATTTGGAAGTCAATGTTTTTGAAAATTTATATATTTTTTCAGATTTTGTCAAGTTGAGGCCCTAATTTTTTTTGCATTATTATTAAACCATCATCGCAATACAAGCCTAATTAATTAAAATAAACTATTTTAGCTAGGGAATTTAAAATATATAAGCCTACAAATTTGCAAATTTCTGCTCCATCGTTCCCATTGTTATAAGCATTGGTGCATGGTTTTTTTCTTCCACATCTTGTTATTAAAATAGAATAAAATTTTTCTGTTATGTTTAATTGTCTGTAATTTCATTGTAGATTTTTCTATTGTTCTAATTTCTAATTAGTTCTATTTAGTTCTAATTTCTAATTAGTTCTATTTAGTTCTAATTTCTAATTAGTTCTGTTGTTCTAATTTCTAATTAGTTCTATTCTAATTCTAATTAGTTTCTATTGTTTTAAATTTTATTGTTTTGTCTAAAATTTCTGTTGTCATTGTGGGTTAAAAATCATTAATATTGAGTTGTATAAATGTGCAAACACTTTTATTACTAATTTTAGAAAACCAATTTATAACAGCAGTGGTATTTTTTCACTGTTGCAAATTTAATTTTTTTTTTTAAATAATATAATTTATTTTGTCTAACTTTTTTTTACTAACATGCCCTAATTCGCGTTTTAAAGGTATTAGTAGCCTACAAGATTTATTTTGAAAATTTGGTTTACAATCTTGTGATAATGCTTGTGCTGATGCGACTGACTCAATTCTATCTGCTAAATTAATTGTTTTAGCCATGTTTTGGCCTTCTAAATTAATTGCATTTTCCATGTTTTTAGGGCTTTTGCGTAATTATTAGAAATATTATTATGCAGTATTTTATTATGATTATCTGGGGTAATTTGGTATATGTTGCTTGTTTTATCAGCAAAAACTAAAATATTAGGCTTGATTTTATATCATTAATGTCTAATTTGAGTTCTTTTTGAAAATCATTTTTAATATTTCAAAATTTTTTTGTTTTAATCAAGTGTAGTAAATTATTTTCAAAGTTTTCTAGGTTGGGAATAAATGATAGGGCATTTTTTGTTTTGAATCCAAAATTATCTTTTTGGTTATTTTCAGTTATAGGATTTTTATTAGTTTCAGATTCTAAGAAAAAATGGGCTTTCTAACGAATTCTTTTAATAGTGTTCTATTTTTTCAATAAAAGAAATAATTTAACTTATTTTTCTAGGATTGGGATATTTTTCAGGGAATAATTAAAATTGTTAGTTTCCATGCTTATGTTATGTATAGTACAATTAAGAGTGCTCAACAAGTATAAACTCGGAGCTCAATATATAAATCCATTATGTTAGTGTATTCTACAGAGCAATAATTAGTTATAATAATTGCCAACTTCCTGTGAAATATTTTTTCTATAATTTAAATTTTTTGATGTTTAGACATTCTTCCTGATGATCCTACTAATGAAGAAACAATTTGTTATAGAAAAAAAAAAAAAGATAATTTACATATATATATATATATATATATATATATATATAAATATATATATATATATATATATATATATATGTATATATATATATATATATATATATATATATATATATATATATATATATATATATATATATATATATATATATATATATGTATGTATGTATGTATGTATATATATGTATATATATATATATATAATTGCCGAACTTAATAGTCTTAGTGTCCTTGGAGCGTGTTTGACACTAAAACCCTTGACAGCCATTTCAACCGAGGTATTGGCAAAAAAGAGTCTCACCTTTGCTTTATAAGAAAACATGAGCAAAACTTGTTAAAACTTAATCAAGATTTACAAAACATGTTAAAACTTAATCAAGATTTACAGTTTGATTTTCACTTAAAAATAGCATTGCATCAACTTCTTCCTAATTTCTGATCTTCAGCATCTATATTCGTTAAAAACAATTTTTATATAACTTTAAAGTTTTGAAGACCAATGAGCCTGCATGGCCGAGTGGTCAGCCCGCTGAGCTTTTAAAAAAGAAAGCCGTGGTTCGAGTCCAAAGACTGGCGGCTCTTTTTTTTAATCTTTTAGAACCTTTAAAAAATATTTGTGTAGTTAAACAAGTTAAATGTAACAAGTTGTGTAATTTAAAACATACTTAAACATATATCAAGTTTTACAGTTTGACTTTCAATTAAAAACTGCATTGCATAAACCTCTTCTTAATTTTTGATCTACAGCACTTGTTTCCGTTAAAAACAAATTTTATATAGTTATAAAATTTCAATGACCAACGTGCCAGCATGGCCGAGAAGTTAGTGCTCTTAACTTCTGAACAAGAAGGCCATGGTTCAAATCCAACCACCGGCAACTTTTTCTTTTAATTTTCTAAAAAACTTGTGAAGTTTTATAAAAATTATAAAACACTTTTACAAACGAAAAGAAAAAGCTAAAAATTCTAAAAACATTAAAAAATGGGAAGATATTTGTTGCATATGTGTCATGGTTGAGATACTTATGTTATTTTAGTTTTACATTTCAAGTTTTTTTACAACAAGTTTGTGCAAGAAAAATGAGTATACAACATGTTTATATATAGAATATATATAAACATGTAAAGTTGTTTTGTTTTGCATTTTAAATAACAAAAATTAAAAAATAAAGCAAGCTAATGATTTGAACTTGCCACGCGGCAACCTTAACTTTTTTAAAACAGTACCGGAGTTTAAAAAGTATTTTTTTTATAAGAACATAATTAAAAATTCTAATTTTATATTTAAATTAAACCATTTTATTGAACAAATTACTTTTAAAAATAGATAAAAGTTCAAGTTATTTAATATTGATACAATAAGGAAATTTAGAGTTATACATCAATTTTATCACGCCCCCGTTATACATTCAAAACTGAGTGCGCAACAATAACATAATTTAGATAACCATCAAATTAGTATTATACTCTATTATTTTTTGGCTTTATATACTTTTTGACTTATCCTTTATCTAAACTTTAAAATAAGGGATCGTCCATAAATAACTCAACGCTAGGTTTCACAATTGAAGAAAACAAAAATGATCAAAATTTCTCCTCGCAGTTGCATGTTAAATAAAAAATCTATATAGCTCATTAAGCTTAATGAAAATCGCCATCCTAAAGAAAACTGAAGATCTCTTCTACTTTTTTAAAAATAGTTTAGCGTTGCCTAATTTGTGGGCTATTCCTTAGCATTTTATAGTCTATAGTTTATAATGCTCTAAGACCTTGTTAGTTCTGCTATGCTGTTATAAAATAATATTGCTATTATAAAATAATAATAAACTGTGATACTGTTATAAAATTTTTGCTATAAATATTGCTATAAATACAGAAAGAATGAAAAATTTTCAAAATTTTTAAAGAGGATGTCTTAATCCCCCAAAACGACACTGGTGACAGCACATTAAACCACTGAGCTATCAATGATATGCGTTTAGGAGAAAAACAAACCTAATTATAAATTTCTTATAAGCTCTAGGTATGCTGAAAGGGTGTGCATGTTATTTTTTTTTGCTCTTAAAGCA